ACACACTCACGGTTTTGATGATGATGGTGGTAGGGTTTCACCCAAAAACAACATGCATGTTGTAGATGGTGAAGTCCTATGACCAAAACCTAAGTCAAAATCAACATAATGCACTTTTCTACAAGTTTTAGTGGAAAATCACTACAGGCACCCTAAGTTTTCTTTGAAAAACGATTTTTGACCATTTCAAACTCATGAATGGTCTTCAAACCAACATGCATGTGAAGATCTTCAAGCTTAGATGCTAGATGAACAAAGTTAATTGTTAAAAGCTTTCAAATAGGTTTATAAATGATTTATTCCCAAATAAATATCTAAAACTTCTTTTCTGATTAAATCCAATTTTTCCCAGAGTTCCACCAACAAAATAAGATGGTCTGTAAATTTTCAGAAATTAATTCATTTTTCTCGAATTATTATAATTATTGCAAGAAAATAGGGCAATAATTCATATAAAATACTTTCTAAGGTCTATAAATCCTAGGTAAATTCGTGGATGACCCCTAAAGTAAATGATGACATCTCAGCGAGTTTCAAGGATTTCTGGTACTGTTTGGTATGGTTTTGATTTTTTATTAATTAAATTAAATCATAAAACCTTTTTAAAGAAAGTGAAAAGGCTCTCTAAGATTTTTCGTAGATCCTACCTCATGTGGAATACTCAGACAAATATTGTCAGAATTTTTCATAATTCATACCTATTTTTCCCCAATTTTTGTATTTATAATGGACAAATAACGGGAAAATTTGTTCTACTCATCCAAAATTCATGAAAATTTACCAAAAGACCTTATATTATATTAGAACTCTAAATAAAAATTTGGATGATTTTTCTATTTAGTATGCTATTTTTCTTCTATTTTTTAAGATAAATACACTTAAATCCACAAAATCGGATTACATTATATAAAAATCACCATTGGTATTTTTACCAGATTATGTACACTGTAAATGACATCTACAAAAACTTTGGTAATTTAATTTAACTGTTTGATAATTATTCACCAGTTAATGATTATTCAAGAGAATAAAACAAATAAAAATAGCAAAACGATTTGAAAAATATCTTTTATATTTTTCACACTTTGTATATGTATAACAACAGTATTACAAAAAGTTTGGGCAATTCTGGACACTTTCTTCTATTTATTTCCATTTTTGTTAGAATAAATGTACAAAAATAATAAAATCGGGTTAAACTGTTTAGAAACCCATTTTTATATTTTTCCCAGCTTAAGTATATTTAATAACAGTATTATAAAAATTTTGGGAATTTTTATCATATGGATACTATTTTTCACGAATTTATGTTGGTATGAAGGCTTTGAAATTTAGAAAAATAGCTAATAACATCCAAAATTCAAGGGAAATTTTATGGAAGATCTCTTCTGTATTTGGAACGAAAATGTAAAATTTGATGAATTTTGGAAACTGTTTGATAATATTTTTGGATTTTTAGGAGTTTAAAACACCTTTAAATGTGTTGAAATACCCTCAATTAATATTACAAAAACCTGGAAAATAATAGCCAAAATTATCTTAATCACATGAGTTATAAAATATCACAATTTCAGAAAAATTGTTACCCATTTAATATAAAACCAATATTAGAACAAAAAATTTTAGCATTTCTCTATATGTAGAATTTAGTATATTAGCATTAGATTTCGACATAGAGACTCACTAGCGTATACAATTATTGTAGGAATCGATAGTGGTACGAGTGGAACGTAGCTCAAGGCACAATTTGCATCATCTCAATGCATTGTGAGTATTCACGACTCCCCCTATTTTTGGGTTTTAAATGTTTTGGGGTGGAAAAGCATGTCCAAAGACTGTTTATTGTTCGTTGTATTTAATTTGACTTGTATCAAACTTGGTTGCTATATTTTTTTTTGTGTATGTGTATGCTATTGTTAACTCATGAGGCCTTATCGCGTTTTAGTCCATGGAATCAGTTCACACAACTCATTAACTCATTTGAGCCCATGATCATTATGGATAACGCTATTAGGCGGTAGACAACTCCTCACTCACACGATTCGCTTGAGTGCATTTTACCATATTTCCCTATGTTAGCGATAGACATAGAAGAGGGCACCATCGGTCATTAGGCTTGGGTTGTGAACTCATGGTTTAATCATTACGCACATACGAACCTTGTATCTCGTTTTAGCAACAAACTTTATTTCCCATGAGAATATGAACGTTGCATCTCATTTTGGGAAACATACTTTATCTCTCATGATGACAACGAACTTTGTTTATGCAAAATTATTTACTCATTTTTGCAATATATTTCTATCTATGGAAATTTTATTACTCGCTTTAGCAACGAACTTCTTTTCATGAAAACTTATTTACTTATTTTAGAAATGAACATTGTTTATGGAAACTGTTATCAATATTCTGATTATCATGATTTCAAACTATATTATGTTATAAACTTGTGAGTAGTCACCAACTATTTTTATAGTTGACACTCGTTTTACATGCTTTTTTAGGAATCATCGAATAAGTGGCACTTAGGGACACTTCACTTTTAGGAGCATTCACATGTGTTGTATTTCAATCCACATTGTAATTTCTTTTAAAAGTTGTTCAAATCCATTGTAAATTTGTAATGCTTTTTAATACTATGGTTGGTGTTGTCTTTTATCTTTTGCTATGAAACCCTTTGTACTGCCACGCCCTGTGTTTCCGCTTTAGCGGGGTGTGACATTTGCCAAGATGGCAGGCGATGGATCGTGGAGGGCAACTTCCTCATCAGATGAGGAGCGTGTGGTACTTTATGACTCAGATCCTGTCGATACCTCGGAGACGGATGACAGTGATGAAACAGAGCCCGATTATACTCTAGCTGAGCACCTGTTAGAGTCACCCCTTTCACCAGACTACACACCAGCTAGGCTAGTGCTTCTCACTTTCGCTTACGAGCCCGACGAGGATGAGGAGGACACTGCCACCTCACCGGAGACCTCACCACCCCGGCCCACTCCTTCATATCGATCTTACAAGATACACACATGTACTTAGGTGAAGTAGACCCTGAGGAAGACTACTGTCACTCCCTATCGGAAAAGAGCGGTGTCCCCACCAGCATCACCACCGCTAGCAAAGAAATCAGGAGGAGACGCCACTTGGATGCCTCAGATACGCACCTGGATGCAGGAGGAGGATATCAGATTACAATTCGAGGTGGGGGAGTCATCTACTGCACCTCCCTTACCCCGAACACTACTATCGAGTATGCTATCTCTCTTCTGGTACCACGTACCGCCCATCACTCAGATCGCATTGGAGCGATGGACATTGAGCTCTTCTTATTGAGGATGGCCTTGATGCAGCTCACAGAGCGAGTGTAGTACTTGGAGGAGGAAAGGGATGTAATGGAGATGAGGACCTTCCTCGTGCAGGAACAGCTGCAGGAGGCGAAGGATGAGGCCTAGTTCCATTACCAGGTGTTGGAGGAGGTGATTGGCCACACAGTTCGATTGGAGCTCCAGGTGGAGAGGTTGGAGTCACGAGTTTCTTTTTCAGATGTTTGGTTAGATTTTATATATAGACAGTTGGTCCAGTTGATGGCTCCCTTGATGGTATACTGTGGATTTTAGTGTTTTTCTGTTTTGCCCTAGCATGATGGCTTGGAGGGATACTGATACTTTTTTTTTGGGTTAGGGTAATGGGAAAAGGTCATACACGTATGTTTTGTAACCTCATAGCTTTTCCTACTCTAACCACACCTTGTTTTGATAACTTCGGCATGGTATATGATGCATATTATACTTACATGGTTGTATGAAATCTGTGTTGTTGTGATTGTTTCCATTAACATTAACATTAACACTAACACACCACGACCTAACCATGAGGGTACAAACTTATTGGTTTCAACGAATTAACTCACGTCTCAACACTAACTTTAGGAGTCTAGAAATGGCACCCCCAAGAATTACCATATCTAGCCAAGGTCTTCTTCGTTCCTCTCTCGTCGTGGTCATTTACATTTAGAAGCTAAGTGAACTGTAATCTTGGTAACTGTAACACCTCCCGAGAAACCTCGTAGGTTGTTGCCGCCTCTTCCTTGGCTTCATGAATTATCATAGTTTCCATTCTGGAACTTGTTCGACCCCCTTTTGGATCATCATTTTGATTCTTTGTCTTTTCTAAGCACTTTTGGACAGTCAAGAGTAATTTTTATCTTCAACTTTAACGTTTCCTCGAATCCTTTATTCATGTGCCTTCAATCTGCCGATTACCTCTTCGGCCGTGGTCATGGTGTGAAGATCTACAAAACTATGTTATTGCAGAAACATTTTATAGGAATCTTGTCAGGGCTGCTCTTAACAACTTCTTTACAATGTACGCTTCTTCCATCCTATCATCGAGAGCACGTATGTTACTAACCACGCTGGTTACTTTAAAAGCAAACTCATCTACTATCTCCGTCTACTTCATGCTCACCGTTTTTACCCTTTCAACTTTCATTATGCATGTCTGCTTATAACCTTTGCTGTCTCCTTCTCTGCTGCTACTAACAATAGCATCTCTTTCGGAATTCCAAGGTAGATGGCGGAAAGTGCCATCTTGTCCTTCCTAACATCAATAGGGTATGGAGGATTCTTGGGATCCACCGGATCCCATGCCTCTTGAGCTTGTAGAAAGTCCTTCATCTTATGGCCCAAGCAACATAACTGTTTCCGGACAACACTGGGTAATGGAGCAAGAATAGACGTCTTTTTTGTTTTTCTATGCTTCCATTTATTTTGAGGTTCTATTTTTGGCATAAACTTGGCTCCTATACAAAGTGTAAGCAACAAACTCTGCTTTTGCCTTTAGGCAGAAGGAAAACCGAGAAACAGAGGAACAAAAGAAAAGACTGAAAACAAAGGAGAAACTAAAAGCTTGCTGGCTAAGTTTTGTTAAGAAACAAAAGAAGTTATGTATGAATCAACATCAAAGGTTAAACCCTACTTATACTAAAAGGAAACTGAAACCCAGTCTAATACTAGAACAAAGGAACAAGAAATATCAAAAATAAAATAAGGAAAGTCTCCAAAACAAATTCTTATTGCTCCAACAATTTATACATCAGCATAGGCACATGCTTTCTATCTACCATGCAAAAGGGTAACTGTGTATTCCTCTAGGGATGAAACAATATCAACTTCACGATAACTTTCTTCAGTGAAAAAAGCTGGTTGTTTGGGTGGAGGCAGTGCCCCCTCACTAATCAGCATCAGAACCACTGACAACATAGTTGGTCTATCTTCTGCATGATGTTGCACACACAATAACGCAACATGTATTGATCGTAGCACTTCAGACACGACACAAGAGTTGCGTACAGATGCACTCATGAGTTCAATGGACTTGTCTTCTTTATATAGTCTCCACGCCTGAATGGAACCAAATTTCAGAAAAATATACTAAAGGATGATGTTAAAGAACAAATAGTTTCTGGTCCTTTTTAGTCTACAAGATTAACTTACATGTCCAAGAAGGTTATCACTGTGAGCCTCATGAGAGAACCCTCTGTTTTTTTTCCCACTCACAATCTCTAGCACAAGAACCCCAAAGCTAAATACATCTGACTTAATAGAGAAGCGTCCATGTACTGCATACTCAGGAGAAATGTAACCACTGCAGCCAAGTTCATTTAATAAAAAAAAGATTAGTGGGATTTTGTGTTTGTTTGTATGTGTTCCCTTGTCTTGGGCAATGTTTTACGGATTCTTACTGTGTTCCAACAACCTTCTTTGTCTTAGCCATGTCATCTTGTCCTACAAACTTTCGAGCAAGGCCAAAGTCTGATATTTTTGGATTCATTTCACTATCCAGCAAGATATTACCTGCCTTGAGATCTCTATGGATTATTTGAAGGCGGGAATCTTGATGTAGATAAAGAATACCTCGAGCTATACCATGAATAATGCGAAAGCGCTGAGGCCAGTCAAGCATTGAACCTCTGGCTTCATCTGCCACATATGAACTACTTAATTTAGTCCATGCACATTGCTACAACAAGTGTGAAAGTAAGGAATTAGAGGGAGTCAAACCAAACAGAAATGAGTCCAAGCTTTTGTTATCCATGTATTCATAAATTAGAATCCTTTCATTTCCATGAATGCAGTATCCAAGGAGCTTCACAAGATTCCGATGTTGAAGTTTGGCAATACAAATGACTTCATTTTGGAACTCATCAACTCCTTGTTGGGATGTTTCTGAGAGACGCTTTACAGCGATTACTCGCCCGTTTTCCAACACACCCTAAAAGAGAAATATTGGACCTTACGATTCTGATATTCCTTTGTTAATAGACATGTATTACGTTTTATTTCAAAAGAATCAGCAAGTTACCTTGTAAACAGGACCAAAACCACCTTCTCCAATTTTATTATCAATGTTAAAGTTATTGGTAGCCTCGACTATTTTATGAAGGCTAAAAAATGGAAGCTGATCAAGGTTTTCCATCCGATCACTCGTAAGATCTTTATCATGGGTATGTACCCTGTTACCTACGAAAAAGTTCATTTTCACTTTCTCATGTTTACAAGAATCTGCCAAAAATCACAGTCTGGAAAAACATTTAATGTTTCATTTCTCGAAGAATAATGTATGACTTGTTTTACCTTGTTCTTTTTTATGAAGACTTTTCATTTTCTTTCTACATGCATATGTTACTGCAGACAGAAGTAGTGCAGCTGACGAAACTGACAGCACCACCGTGAGTACTTCCTTCTTCTTGTTGAAGCTGAATTGTTCTTTTGCTAATGAATAAAATAATTAGTAAGGTTAGTAGGTTACAATTCTTTTGCTAAGGGAAAGGAATAACAAGCAGCAACACACGGATTAAGGTATGGACTATGGCGATAACAAACACTCAGGCCAGCTGATATTTTGGTCTTCGGAAGGAAACAAGCTTATGTGGATCTTACTGTGGTCTTCCCTCTCGTGAGCTTGAGGACTGGGGGTTTCACTGCGGGACAGGCTGCTTTAAAAGCCGCCACGTGGCAAAGTGACCAAACACGGGAATTCATGCATTGAAATTTGAAAATATAATATAACACAATAATTCAGAGGATAATGCTACTAGAGGCCCAACCATCATACTCTACAACTCACCAGCGACTTTCACTGTTATATTTAGAATACAATTTGTGTACCTGCTAACTCAGAGGTCGACATTCTTATGTACAGTTCTTGATGATCATCATATTCTCTAATGTCCATAAGCTCATCCAACCATAGCAAGCATCCACTTCCCCCCTTTCTGATATCTAAGTTAGCATAAGCAGTACAAGAACAATGCCTTCTGCAGGTCATCTCACATTCTTCAAGGGACATGCTCTTGTTGTACCATGAACGTCGTGTGTCTGGAAAAATCACTCCTGAAATTTTATGGAAGACATCCGGAGTCCTACAATCCAATGGCTTTTTACGTTGACACCCACTCGACCAATCCCCTGCCTTCCACTCTTTTGGGACTTTTGGTTCAAAACCTTCCAAACAACTGCAAGGGAGAGAACTTTTCATACTGCAGCTTCCAAAAGGACCACATGGTCCATAACGACTACAAGCATCAACTACAACATTTTGCATACACGATCCATTCTTTGGTTCGCTTGATCCACTGCAACCGTTGTGCCATGCCGTCCCATGCTAAAAGAAGCCTCTGAACAGTTGTACTCTTAAGTTTATAGCTATAATATATTTCTTTCTGATTGACGACAAATTCTGTGGAGTAAATTGGATTCATGCTTTCCTCAGGAATGCCTTGAAAGCCAAGACCATTCCATGGTCCAACCCTCAAGGTTTCACCTTGACTTTCTCCCAGAAAAATCTGTGGATATCCATTTGTGTCTACCCAGAATTTATACAAACCTGTAGAAGGATCATCAGGGCTCTTCCAAGACGTGAAGTACCTCTCTATTCCTGTTATCAAATCCTTCCCAAATTTCATTCCTGGTAGCAAAGTGTCACCAGGATAGTCAAAACTTTGCCAGATCAGTTTTTCTTTGTTTCTATAGTCATCCCACACCACAAGATTTCCGCTGTCCAAAAGCTGTGCCACAGGATTCATATTTCTGGCAAAGACCGATGTCACATTTGATGACCAGATGACATTATTGCCACCACCGTGACTCAGCAGGACTCCTTCTGAAGTGACTTGAAACACCCCAGATGCATCCTTGATTGGTGTCTGCCTGTTAGCAACCCAGACAACTGTACAAGGTGATATGTTTTTGTACCATATCCCCAAATATCGATTCCTTGACTTTCCGGGGCTAAAAAACCCCAGTTCATACATCTCGCCATCTGAAACAATGGTGTTGCCATCTTTGATCGGTTGATTTATATATACTCTATCTACTGCAGCAGAACATGACAAGATAAGGAATATGATACTGAAGATCAACACAAGGATAATGCGATACAGCTCCATTACAGAATGCTGTGTTTTTGGAAATGGTGGGTGTTAGACGTACGCAAGCCTGAATTTTGAATATTAAAACTTAAATAAATTATTATTGACTTGAAACCGTCAGCTTTGAAAACGTGACTTTTACATGTTTAATTTCGTAGTCATACACTGAGTTGACCGCCGTTTATCCCTAAAATTTCGAATCCAAAGTCTGATTATATTCTTTATCGCTAAACCTTCGGATCCAAAGTCTGATTATATTGGAGATAATTTCATTAATTAAAACACTTAGTTATCATCGTACAATGATTGATAAAACAAACGGGCAAGTTGGCCGCTTTTTTGTATGACTAAAATTTAGCCAAGAAGTATAGAAGGAAATTTATATACATTTTGGTAAAATATAAGGGAAAGATACAGAAAGATAAGTATATTTTTCTTCCCCTATCGCTATCCAAAAAGTCCTTGGCTGAAAAATGTTTGGCAAAATAGATATTTTACTTGACTAGAAAAACTTGAATCAGGGAAAGACTACAACCGTCAAACATATTACCTTGCAAATGAATCTTCACTAAAAAAAAAAAAAAAAAAAACGTAGTATCACATGGATTTACATAATTAGTGAGTGATAATTGATGTTCTATTTCCTTGTTGCGTATTAGCGATCTAACTTTAATAATATCTAAGGTCCATTGCTAATTCAATTTAATTAATATATAATATTTCTAGAAAACAAGTGGATTATGCCAAATCCGTGTGCTTAGCGACATATCTTTAAAACAACAAGTTATTAATATTTTGAAGGTTGTACGCTAAATAATAATAATAATAATTAGTAGTAGTACTGTTGTTATTTTTTATTAATTATTATTATTATTAAAAATAAAACAAAGAGTTATTATGGCTAAAAAAAGAGAAAAAAAGAACTCATTAGCGGCGACGTAAAAAACATAGAAGTCGTTGGAAAAGGTAATAGGGTCGTCAAATCACATCTAATGTGTCACCACTATTGTCGCGTCGCTATTAATCATGAAAACCCCACTAATACTATATGCCGTCGTTGATACACACGTCGTTGCTAATAAGCGTATCGCTGGTAATATCTTTTTCTTTTTTCTTAAACAGCCACCGGATGCATAAAAACTGATATAGACTATCAAAAACATGAAACATTAATTGCAGAAAAAATGATCCAGATGCCAAGTTAAGTACAAAAAGTGTTATAAAGATATGATACATGTCAAATTAAGTAGCAATAATGTTATAAAGTTATATGTTATACTAAGTCTATCAAAACATTAAATAAAACATAAACTAATCATCTTAGTTCCCTTCATTTCCTCCGACATCAGCCGGTGGTGGCAACAATTTAAGCTACTCTTGAAGTGTCACACTACACTATGGGTCGCTAAGCATATAGCGGCGCCTCTTTAGCGGCGACACGCAACATGTTTCTTTGGTGTCGCCGCAACTACCCTTGTCGCCGCTAATAGTGTCGTCGGTAAATCTTGTATTTCTTGTAATTTATTATGTAACGTGGTTTGTCTAATATAACTGTGTTAGGGGTGAGTATGAGGCAGTTTGGAGCGGTTGCTAAAACATAATCATAACCAAACCTATCGGTTAATCCATAATCTTAATTAGCCATTTGTAACATCCCAAAATCCCAAAATTCTAGACAAAAAATTTCATTTTTGATATAACGATTCATAAACAATTAATAGAAAACATCATCAAGTTATTTCATTTCATCAAAACCATAGATCATATGTCTCAAAACCATATCATAAAATAGTAATAATTTCAAAGTACAAATTCCAAGAATCACATATGCAGAAAATCATGTGTGTGATGCGCTGCTACCGTGCCGGCTCCTTTCCCTTCGAAGAAGAAGGACCTGAAACAAAATTGAAACTGTAAACACAAAGCTTAGTGAGTTCCCCCATCATACCACATACCAAACCATAAACATACTGTCAGGCATATCTAGGTGCCCGGCCTACCCTGCTAAGCATATGTGGGTGCTCAACCTACCCTTTCTAGGCATACCGGGGTGCTCGACCTACCCCTTGTCAAGCATATATGGGTGCTCGACCTACCCTGCCAGGCATATCTGGGTGCCCGACCTACCCTCCGGTTTTAACCGGCTACGGGGACTATTTCACCCCCTACCACTACCACATAATAACATAGCATATCATACAGACATATCTAGGTGCCCTACCTACTCTGCCGGTATATCTCAACCGGGTCCGGGGACTAGTCCCCTATCTACCACTATCACATAATCACATAACATACTAGCACATAAAACATAAAAGATAGTGACATACCAGACATTTATCACAAAGACAATCATCTCAACTATAATCACCTACTAGTGGGCCGACCTTGGTGCCTTAGACCCACTTCTACTGGAAGGTAACTCACCTCAATGTCGTGAAATAGCTGAACTGTCCTCGGTGCTGGGATCAACTCTCCTCAAACTCCTACACATAACATCTCTTTTAATTACTCTTTCAAACTTATAACCCCTTTAAAGGTCAACTCTGGTCAATGGTCAAGTCAAAGGTCAACACTCTGGTCAAAGTCAACCTTCTGGTCCAAGTCAACATTCTGGTTGACTCAACTCGTTGAGTTGGTCCGTCAACTCGTCGAGTTACCCTCTAACTCGGCGAGTTTCTCCTTATGACAGAATCGAGACTTTCCGTTTGAACTCGTCGAGTCCTTCCATGAACTCGTCGAGTTCCCCTTCGTACAAGTCGGGGCATTTCACTCGCAACTCGCCGAGTTCATCCTTGAACTCGTCGAGTTCCTCTTCATATATGTTGGGACATTTTGCTCATCAACTCATCGAGTTCATCCTTGAACTCGTCGAGTTCCTCTTCATACAAGTCCATAAACACGTCCAACTCGCCGAGTCATCTTCTAGACTCAACAAGTATGCTCAGTAACAGAAAAGGTTGGGGAACCACGACCCAACTCGCCGAGTCCTAAGAACGAATCGTCGAGTTCCCCAAAGTCTAATTCCATACAGCCGATTTTAGTCGGGCTTAATGCATCCAAAACATAGATCCGACATTCTAGGGTTGATATAACACGTAAAGTTACAAACTTTACGTTCATGCATGGGTTGTTTAGCTAAAAAAGGCTCTAAAAGTGGTTCTTATGATGCATGGGACTCCCATGGCCATAAAGTTGGCACCTTTATGCCATGGAGTCCCTCAAAGACTCTGGATCTGAAGTCTTAACCCCAAACATGCTTGCATCCATGAATGGTTCCTTAAAGCCCTAAACTACTCCATGAAGGGATCTAGTAGATGAATGGACAATGTATATAATTTATACCTCAAATGAACTGGAAATGGAGCACAAACTCTGGATCTACTTGTTTCCTCTTGAACCCCCAAGCTTCCACTTCCTTCTCAAGCTTCAAAATTACCAAGAACACACAACAATGGCTCAAGAACACTCACAATGGGTTAGGGTTTCGTGACTAAGGTTTGGAGGTGATGGAGGCTATAGTTGAGGCCAGATAAAGTGTTTAAATAGGGTGCAAACCCTAAAAATTAGGGTTTCACTTTGGCAGAACTACTCGTCGAGTCGAGGCTTCTCGACTTCTTAGTCCCGTGTCCAAACTTCTCCCATTTCTACTCGACGAGTTTGGGGCCTCCAAATCATCGAGTCCCTTTGCAAAAATGAATAATTCTTTATTAAAATACATACCAGGAACCGGGCGTTACAAATCTCCCCCGCTTATTTTAGATTTCGTCCTCGAAGTCTGTTGCATCTGGAAATAGCTCGGGGTAGTGTTCCCTCATCTCGTCCTCCATCTCCCAAGTCCATTATGATCCCTTGCGGTGCTGCCATTGCACCTTCACCAACTCTGTGACAATCCGAAACTTTTTCCGTTATCTATACCCGATTTCCGTTAATAAAATTTGGGGATTTATTAAATTCTGTCAACATTCTTGGTTTGGGAAAGACCTTACTCTTTTAAATCAATAATGTGTATTTTTATACAAAGGGGAATTAACCGGAAATCACGCGAAAGCTCGAAACTTCACTCGTCAGCCTCAAGTTCACGGCCAGAACGAGTTCACGGCCGAGAGTTTATGGCCGTAAACTCGTGACCGTAAACTCGTGACCGTAAACTTGAGACCGTAAACTCGTTTACGGTCTGTGCCAGCTCACTCTTGGCCGCAAACTCACCCCCCTATATAAGGGATGAGTGGCCTTCAATTCGAACTCTAAGCACTCAAAGGACTTTCTCTCTCTACTCTCTCTCTTCAACCATAGATTTTAGCTCAAGAATCCCCAAGAATGTAAGTGATTCTTCATTTCTATGGTGTTTAAATCCCTTTTCTGGTGATGAATCCATGTTTCATCTCATAAAGTTCATCTTTTTCTAGATTTTCTCTCACACCAAGAACACCAAGAACACACACTAGTTCTTGGTGGCTAAAAATCGCATTTCAAGCCCTCTTATAGTAAGTAACTACTATCTATGCTTGATATCTGCTTGAAACTTTGGATTTCCACCTAAAAATCGACCCAAAAGACATGAACATGAAGAGTTTACGGCCGTACATCCCGCCTTGGCCGTAAACTCTAGTAAAGGATCAAGGATCGACCTTTAACACCCCTGACCGTACACTCTCGATTACGTCCGCAAACTCCCTATCTTCAATCACGTGTGATCCTAACACTTAGTTTCACGTGATTCCTAATCCCTAAGTGGTTTCCTCCCATAACAGATGATGTTATGCCCTCATCTAATACATATATGTGTTGCCATATGATAATAGGATCCACTTGCATACGAAACATCAGTTGACACTCATCATCCACACCGACCTCACACTCGGTTCCTACGTCAAACAGTGAGTTCATACCCCTACATTTTCTGGTTTTCAAACGTTTTCAGGGGGAATACAAGCTACACCATAAATGCTTTTGTTAATACAAAGAGCTTTTAACAAGTATAAAACTCATGCAATTCTCATACATTAACCCTTTTG